GACGGATAATCAGTGGCTAAGTGGCTATCAGTCTTACCAGTTTTCTTATATAGGCTCTACATATCAGTTTGTAGTTATTTATAAGTAATTTAATTATTAGTGTTAATAAAGTAGTAAGTAATTAGTAGTAGTCTAGTAGTTAGTTATTATTATCACAATCATGAATCATTTACATTCATATCATCATATATCTAAGATACTGATACTCATTAATTTAATTAACTAACTAGTTAGTCACAGTTTCTCACTAATTTTCACAATAAAATTGCCAAGTCTAGCTCACTAACCACTTATAGAATAAAAGTTAAAAACTCTTACTTAATAGAATTAGAGTAGAAGTTATAAAATATTAGTCTTGTCTTGAATAAAGTATTTTAAAGAATTAAATAAAATTAAATCAATCACTTGTTATTTTTTTGATTTTTCTAACAGTAGGATCTCAAGAAACAAATGGTATTGATGGTGTTGTCTCCCAACCTACTTCTTAATGAACTGCATATGTATCCCACCCTATACAAGGCCTTTTCTGCCTCTACGCTAGTTGGTTTCAGTGTCATCAAATAATGATAAATCAAAGATAAGTTTTCACCTCTGACTCCCTCACTTTCACAAACAGCCATTTCTTTTTTTAGTAACTTATCATAATCCTTCTCAGTACTAGTTTCTTTCCGTTTCATGAAGTTTTCTTTCTCACACTTTAATTGGATCTCTAATTCTTGTTCCAATGTGAAATTCAGGAAATCCGGGTTATCTGGATCATCGTTTTCCACCTCTGTAATATTCTCTGCCATTGCTGCTGGTTCCACTACATATGTATTTACACAATTCAGCATATTTTTCATCTCCTGGCGCATTACATTTTTTTCAGCATGTGAAAGATAAAGCTTTCTAACTTTTTGGTCATACTTCTTAGAGTTCTGTATGTAAATCAACATCCCTGTGACCTCTGTAAGATGCCGTTCTCTGATTCTTTTGTGGAGTGCCTTAGAAAGGTTGGCACTCAAGATTGTGTCCTGGCTTTTTAGTTTGTCTAAGACAAATTTCAGGGTCTGCAGAGAGCTTCTATGGCCAGTTTAAACTGCAATCGTTCCATCACATGATTCATTGACGTCACAACCAACTGTAAATTAGAATTATGCACCAGGACTAGGATAGGAGTTACTTATTTTATTTAGCGTGAAGACACTTTATTTAGCGAGAGCGGAAAGCCAACTGGCAATTAGATCAGCAGAGGTAAAAGGGCGGGCGGTGCGGTATAGACAGGGGATGTAGCACATGCCGCACTGAACAGCAACATTGCTCTCGCCACCAAGCGATAGCGCACATAGCAAAGCGGCAAGGTTGACAACGTAGACTTTTGCGCCATTATTTAGAAAGTCAATTGAGTATTTGCGGATCCGCAGCGCTGGATCCAGCACCTGGTACTGAATCCAACAGGCTGAAAAATGTGCTGGATCCAGCTGGACTGCTGGATGAGGGATCCAGCAATTGCAATCCCTAACACTTGCCTTTCAAAAATAAAAACCAATGCAAAACTTAACGAGTACCCACCCGACAGCCTCACAAATACAGTGGGTGATCAATTAACGAGCATAATTCATTCCAAGACTTTGTTCGCTATCCGAATTGTTCGTTAACCGATTATCAATTTACCATTGGTTTGTATGGGAATTTGATTAATTCGTTCTGGAGACCCCAAAAATAAAAAATATAGTAGAGCGTCAATTATCCAAATCAATTGGGGACTGGGGTTGTTCTGAAGATCGATATTTTGGATAACCGATTATGTATGAAAAAATATATTAATTTAACCCATCTTGACATTTTTCTTTGTTGAGTGTCGCTTCGCATTGAATTTTCGTCGATGTTAAGCCTAACAAAGACTATTGTATCGTTAAAAATTATTTTTTTATTTTGTACAAACAAAATAAATATATTGAAAAATATAAAAACAATAAAAAATTATACTTCAGANATTGAACTGCGCCCTACTGTAGATTTGTTCAAGCCATACTGCCCAGCAACATCAGACATCATCTACCCATTCTCTACCTTTGCTATTATACTCTCACCTTTCGAAAATAAAAACCGACGCAAAACTTAACGAGTGCCCGCCCAACAGTCTCTTGAATACTATAAAAGAATTGTTTGTCAGAAAAATAAAAGGCTGGAATAACAAGGGAGTATTTTAAAGTTCGAGGAATACTATCTGATCAGTATATATTGGGTTGAGCATCGACGTTGATGTCTCCCGTGCTCCAAAAAATTACCTGAAGACAAAAGAAAATCAATCAGTATTTGCTATTTCCGTCGCTTCTTTTTATGTTTGTTCAGTGAAGTGTTCGTTATCCGATTTGCTCGTTAACCGATCACCCACTGTATTTGTATCTGTCCTGCCTGAGCAACAGGGTGTTTTTTCTTTATGCTAAAAAAGATTATTAAACAATATTATATCATAGATGAACAATCTACATACACTAGCAATAAATTTAATAAACAAATAAACATTTTTGACACCTTTAGTGGTCATTATCAAGTTACAGTCTTATAAGTATAAATCCATATTGAAAAAATACTATTAACTCTGTAGTGTTTCTTAAGCATGATTTATAAATTTTAATGATTTCATTTCTTGATATTTAAATTGTTTTCAAATGTCACCAATGTTTGAATTCTATACATATCATTGCATTTTCTACAGGTTGAAGGTATTAGTTTTTCAGTAAAACATTTTGATGAATAAAAATGTTGCTTTTTTAGAAGAATCATTTTTTAGCTATTAATTGAATTTGTAGTAATTTATGACATAATTTATGTTTTTGATTCAGGTCCTGAAATTAAACGTAAGCAGTTTAATGGTTATGAGACATTGATATAATAATATAATTTGTGTTTTCAAAAGGATTACAAAAACTATGATGATATCACAACAAAATTTCTGTTTTTAAAACTTAATCTTATCATTTTCAGGCAAATGAACAGAACAAACATATTAAAATTCAAAAGTGATCATTTCAAGCAATTTTAAGTAGTAAATAAGAACATTCAAAATGATAATTTTTGAAACTTAAAAAATCTTTTGTTTTATTTGATTGCCTGAAGATGACAAAACTAAGTTTATCAAGAATACTTGCCAACTTTTAGTATATTTTTTATAATTTATGTGTTGTTATTTATAATTAAACTGTTTTACATTTAAAGACAATTTTCCTACTCCTTTTTTTGTTTTTTTCAAGACTATGAAATAATACAGTAAAATTATATAAAATTTTAATTCTTATAATATAATCTTTAACAACAAATCTATCATTAATGTAATTATGATGTAGATTTTTTGGTTAAAGTCCAGATGCGTGTACTGTCATGGCAGCTCATCTGATTCCAGCAAACAAAAGAAAGGAAACAGTGGGGATGCACGTTCTAACCTAACCTAACCTATTCTAATAAATTACCATAATTATTACCAACCAAATTATTAGAATAGGTTAGGTTAGGTTAGGTTAGAACGTGCGTCCCTACTGTTTGCTGGAATCAGAGATGAGCCGCCATGATGGTATACGTATCTGGACTTTAACCGATTTTTTAAAGATAAAATCTGATAACTTTTTTAAATTTGAGACTTACTCCATTTTTATCAAATTTTAATGAAGATTTTATTGCTGATTTAATTCCAGTCCCACTTTTTCCCAATCCTTTACCTATAATTTAAAATCAAAATAAAATTAGCATCTTGTATTATTTTCAATTAAATAAATGGTAACAGGTTCAGAACACGTATTTTTCTGAATTTTTATTTACTTACCTTCTTTCCAACCATATTTTTCTAATTGAGCGCGACCAAATCCTTCATTCATATTTTTTTTCTTTTCTGATCTGGTAAGGGTTAATTAAGAATAAAATAGTTCAAATAAATAAATAAAAACGAACATGCCATGCTTTTATCTCAATTAGTGTTGCCAGCCAGATCATACTTGTATGCAAGCTGCCAGATAGTCGAAGTAAAAAATCGCCAAAATTTGGCGATGAAGTAGCCCAAAGTCGCTTAATCGCAAATTCGCATAGAATTTTTAATTTCTAGACAACCAGCTGGAATATACCAGAATTTCTAGACACTAAATAAAATATTACATAAAGATATTTTATGAAATAAATTTTTTGACAGCAAAGTACTTCCAATAATAAATTTTCATGAAGAAAAAAATTTTTAACTATTTTTCTTTAAGCACAATCGATTTAAAAACGGTAAAGGTTGGTACTTAGTATTAGTTATATTATTGGTAGTACTGTTTAAAAATCTTTCCATAAAAATTTCAATAAGTTTAAATATAAATGTTATAAAAGAATAAATCACATAAAATGATGAAGTTATAAAATGGTATGTGTAAACATTGGTTAATACTGTGGACAGTGGACACAATAAGTAAAAATGTATTAATAATATTCATTAAAAACATCAAAAACTTCAAACATATATGGTATACATATGATCAATAATAACTGAAAACACTTGACCTATAAATCAATAACTATGTAGAGACTGTTATAAATTATAAAATAAAATTACCCAATTAGCGACCATTACCGAAATGCCATTTAAAAGTAGTCCAATTGGCGATTTTCTGATTTCTTGAGCAAAAATCGTCATTCTGGTAACTTGCTTAAACGGTTAGTCAAATGTTTTCTTAGTTAAGAGGGTTTTTTTTATTTTTTGGTAAAGATAAGCTTGACGCTTGGAAGTGATTTTTAGAGAACAATAATACAGGTAAAAATCTTGTAAGTCTTGTGAGTACCACTTCGAAGCGCCAAGTTTAACTTTACAAAAAAAAGAAAAAAAAACTCCTAAGATAAAATTTGACTGTCTACTAAATTGTCATAAGTTTTACTTGGAGCCATTTTTTTTACATCTCAGATGTATTTGTTTGGATATCGATTGTTTTTTTGGTTAATGATCGTATTAGGACATAAGACGACGACGTACAATTCAGTCGCCGACCGAACACTTTCAATACACTGTTTAAAAAAAATCACTATTAAAAGTTTTAATTTGCATAAATTTGAGCTTTTCCTATTCTGGATAAAATTTTGAATGAAAATCATTCGTTCTCATGCAATTTTATCTTTATATGTGTAAATAAAAGCCATACAAGTGAAATAGCACTATTCTCGTGAACGTTGACCTATTGATCCGAAAGTTTCACGAGCTTTCCCGCTGATAATGAGAAAGACTTAATTTATAAATTTGAGCTTTCTAGACTCAGTAGATTTTTCTCTAGGAGCGTCTGCTATGTCAGAGGAAGAAAAGAAGAAAATATAGCTTTTATTATTATTATTTTTTTTTTTGTTTTTTGAGAGAGAGAGATTTGTATTTTTCAAATGCTTATATTTCGGCAATCCCTTCATAGAAAAATTCTTAAATTTTGTATACTACCTACGAAAACAAACATCTTTCGAACGAAATAGTCAGAAATACTATGGGCGTTTGAAAGGCGGAGAAAACGACACCCGAAAATCGACAATTCTGATTCCTGTACATATAGTCAGTCAGTGACTTTTTCACTTAACGCCGAGTCATTGCCTAAACACTCGATCTAATGAAATCTAAGTACAGTATTTAAAGTACTTGTATTAAATCTTGATAATTACTATTTTGTCACTCCAGTAAGAGTGACAAATTAGATTATATTTTGTAAAAGTATAAGCGTAATTTTTACTAGCATTTTAAAAATTACAAAAAATCAAAATCTTTTGTATACTGTTGCTTATTATTAATTTAATTATAATATATATATTATATACATATATAGAAATCGCAAAATTTGTGTAAATTTTTAGTAAAATTTTTTAAAGCAAAAATATAATTTAATGCAACTGCAAGAAATAAATATTAAAGTTTAATAAAGATACGGTCACATTTAAAGTCTTTGCTACTCTAGTTATAAATTGTAATAAATGTATTACAGTATTTCTGTGATCTTTTCTTCTTCTGTTTCATATTGTCAGATGGTCAGATGATTGGATGAATTAATATTTCTACATAAATATGTTTGTAGCTAGATGTCATCTTCCTACGATGCTACAATGTTTCACAATTTTATAGTCCTTCAGTTGGCTACAATGTTTGCGGATTCATTGATTCCTCATACCAGCACGACTCGAAACAGAAAATTCGTCCACTAGTCGGTCGCGGAAAATTATCCGCGCGATTTTGAACTATTGTAAAGCGACTATAAAAATGCGCGACGCAAAATATGCATCAGCAATTTTTCCGCATCGCAATTGTGATTAGTAAATTAAAATCTTTACGTCCCGCGGGTAATTATGTTTTTTCATACCCACAGAAAAGAAATTTTCATCTTTATCGTTATAAAGAACACTCACACTGCAAATGCATGGCATCAAGCGATCGGCCAGGCATACGGCGTTGAAGGTTGGGATCCGACATATTTCGGGTCAACCTATACATGAAAATTCTGACTTGACGTGAATTTAGTTTTCGACTTTTACCTTCAAGATCAATATTCCGTCGTTTACATTCTGGTTGATGTTTATCACTTTTGTATTGAATCATAATGGAATAGTCGTAAATTGATAACATCAAAATATTGAAAGTTTTATGAACTTATTAAGTTTACAAGAGTGAAAGAAACTAATAAGCTTTAATAAAGAACAAACAAAACTGCTAAGATTATATAATAAAATATTCAATATAAAGATTTAATTTCTTTTTTAGCCAGTAGGGGTACTATCTCGACTATACATATCGGTATCGCGATTGCGCATCGAGACAACCTCCTCCACCTCCAACCGGCTGTTGTAGGTTCAATTTTTCAATCCGGTAAATTTAATAATTGTTAGACATGAATCGTTCGTTTTAAATATGAAATAATATATATAAAAGAATAATAATATTGTTTGTATGATTAGTTTTTACAAACAGAGATAAAACGAAATATTTTCTTGTATAATATTTGTCCTTAGTAGTAATTGGGAAAGGACGTGGAAGCCATATTGGTTTTTAGCGGATAGTACTTGAATAATTTAGTTTTAGATCGAATAGTTTGAAATAAAATCTTATTTTCTTTCATTTTTGAGATTCTGTAATTATTCAAGTAACTTAATAAACGTTTTGCAATAACATCATTAAACATTGCAGATTTTGCTTTGCTCCAAGGGAAAGACTGAAGATGTTCACCTGTGCAAAAATTGTTTCTCCTCTCTCGAGAAGCTTGGTAAGTTAAATAGGTGAAGTTTAATAAGTTGTCTTATTTAATAAAATTCATAATTTTATTAAATAAGACAAAATGTTTTAATAGTTACGTTTTATTTAAGCTATGCATATATTTAAAATGAAAAATTATGATGAAGAATATCCAAAATAAAACATTTTTGGAGTTAGAAAAGGCATAATAGGTTGTTGCTATGATATTCTAAAAATTGGATTTAATGTGTGTAATTGTGTCTTTACTTTTTATTGTAACAGGAAAGCAAATTATTTCTCTTCAGTTTAAATCTGCCAAAGAGTTCTCTAATGTCTAGGCCAAGATTAAACGTTTGCATGATTACAAGAATTATGGAGACTTTTGTTTTTGATTTAGTCATAATCCAAAGTCTACAAAGAAAGTTGTAAATCATTGAAATTAGTGCCAATGCTCTAAATGCTCACAATTTTAGATTGTTTTTAAAATGTATGAGAATGTTATTTATAGATTTATCCTTCTAAATTGATTTTTTATGAATAAAACAAAACTTACAGAAGAGATTGTTCGTAATAAATGATACAGTAAAAAATATAGAATTTGTTCATAATTTTTCAGTAATGACTGTAATAGTTAAAGAACATTGTTCTTAATTTAGAGAATGTGCAGATGGTTGCCTAAAGACAAGTTTGAAAATGATACAGTAGGTTTGAGACAATTACATGTTGTTCAAATTTTACTGACAAAAGTTTATCATCTGCTTAATAAAAAAAATTTTTAATGAAATTGATTCAAAAAGATGAATCCTTCAAAAGTTTTTAATATTAAAACATGAGTTTGCTAAATAGGATTTAAACCAGGGGTGTCCAACCCGTGGGCCGCATGCGGCCCAAGGAAAGTTCCAATGCGGCCCAATAAACGTGTAAACAAAACTGACAAATGTTTTAATTTTTTTATTATTTATTCATTTCAACGGCATAAACTCAAAAAAAAGTTTCACAAAGCCGTAAACCTTTATTCATATTTTACTTTTGAGTGGAAAGAAAATATTTTCAAATATTTGGAGATGTGTGAATGCGGAAGGATTACTAAATAAAGCTGGAGTTGTGACTCAAAGGATTATAGACCCAAATTTGGGAAAAGGAGGGAAAGATGAGAAAGGACAAAAGATGTGGTAGTGAGAAATGTTAAATAGACCTTCTGTTAAGCAAATAGGGACCCGTAATTTTTCAACCTTTTTCACTTTATCTTTTGTCCTTTGCCTCTTTTTCCCCGCACTTGGGTCTATAATCCTTTGATTCACAACTCCAGCTTTATTTAGTATTTCTTCCAACGTTGCAAGATTTGGCTACATTGGGCCAAATGTGGCTACTTTTTTTTGCTTGATGTAAAAAATATCATTTGGTGCTTTGGCTACTTTTTCAGTTACATATTATTTATAATTACATTAATTGAATAAAAATGCACTTTAATGGTGTTTCGTCGCTTTTTATTAATTAGAGACCGAAATAAAATAAATATTTGTGTTTTTCAAATGAATTTTCTTTAGTCTCTTTTATAATAAATGAATTTATCTATTTCTAAGTAAAAGTTGAAAGTGTCTGTAGAAGTAATTTTTTAAAATATCCTTTTTTCTTGATAAAGTTTTAATACTTATTATTATAATCTAGACATGTTAGTTTTTAAATATACATGTATATTGGGCCACAAGTATATATTATGTATACTTGTGGCCCAAAACTCCTTGACTTCTTCCAATGTGGCCCAGGGAAACAAAAAGGTTTGGACACCCCTGATTTAAACCTTATCAAATGATTGATTATAATGTACCGGCAAATTGATTTTAATAATAGCATTCAATATACTTTTTTTAAGTAAGTCATAAAATGGTGGTGGTGATTTTAATATTTCGGTGAATTTTTACCCTTACTCCCTGTCTGTGAGCAGTGCTGCTCACTGACAGGGAGTAAGGGTTGAGTTATAAACTCCGTAACATAACTGTATCTGTATAGTATGGTTATAAATTCCATATTGTATCTGTATGGCCGTACCATATTCCATAAGAAAAGTTTGGATCAATCAAACTTTTATGGTAAGGATATGGGGAATTGATCAACTGCGCATGTGCTAAGTCTCCATCACTCGATATACAATCAGAAGTTATGCCGGAAGCAACCAATGAAACTTTGACAAATTGGTTGAAATGTAACTTTTGACCAACAATGCTGCTTCTGAATAATATAAAATTTTAAGATAAGAGTTATAAAAAAAATAGGTCATAAAAAAAAGGTCATAAAAAAATAGAAAAATGATAAAATGAATAAATATAGTATTAGATCTGGCAACATCAGTCAATGATTTTGTGCATGCTCACAATGGACTGCTGTGTAAACCGTAAAAAGTTTGTTCCTTTACAGATATGTAAAAGGCCTTACAGTAGTTTATAACTATTGCTGTAGATATCCACTGTAGCAAATATTTACTGATACGGTTACGTTAGAGTTTAGGAGAGAAAAAACAAGTGGGTGATAGGGGGGCACTGGAGGCACAGTACTGAACAGTAACCATAGGCAAGGATTAGGGTCACTGACATTTTCCTTTGTTAAGACTGGGTAAGAGAAACATTGTATTTCATAGTTTCCATGTGTGGATAACAATATAGATTAAGGATAGTGTAAGGTTCATAGAAAAGTTTCTAAGAATATTTCAAAGTTTCTCTCACAAGGGAAAATGGGTTAGGGGTGTTGGGTATGAGTTATGGAATCAAGGGGGTGGTGGCTCAAGTTTCTGAATCATTGGTTTAGTACTACATATTAGATATTAATGTACTTAAATGCTCATTTAACATAAATAAAACTTAATATCTGAATGCTTTTTCTTCAAAGTTTTGTTTTTCTGAAAAATAGTTTAATTAAAAAAGAGCTATAAACAAACACTTTGTGAAAAATCCTCCAAAATAAATTCAAAATTTAAATGTAAATCTTACAAATATTTTTATTTTCCTGGTTATAATAGTGTGGTGTTTTGTCAAAAAATAACCTCTGAAGATTTTTACATTTTTGGACTTGGGCCCATGAAATGGGAAAAAATGGATTTTTTTTTTTTTTCTGTATGTATAGATGTTAGTGTATGGAGGGACAATTTTGTTTATCCAATTTGAAGTTTCCTGTCTTTTGAAAATTTCTGAAGTTTTATAGGAGGATTTCTTAGGGGATTGATGCTATTAAATTTTGGTGGTTAATGGTCAAGGTGGTGGAGAGATCAAGGGTTGTGTCATATCTTGAGTGGGGTTGGATTTCATAAAGATTTTACTTATTAGTATTTACAATTTTTATAAAAATTATAAATACTAATAACAAGTAAAATATTACTAATACTCTACCCTCAAAATTCAAATGCAAGTCTTGTATACTTTAGCTCTTATATATTTTGTTTTTAATGAAAAATATAGATATTGAGTAAAGTAATAATCTAATGAATTTAAATTTAAAAATATGGTCTCAAAATACAGCTTTTCTTAGGGCTTGGTTATTAACTTTGTGCCATTTCTGTATAATGTGGTTATAAACTCCATATCATATCTGTATGGCCATACCATATTCTGTATGAAAAGTTTGGTTCCATCAAACTTTTACAGTACAGATATGGAGAGTTAGCAAACTATGCATGCACCAAACTGCCATTAATTTATACAATTGGAAGCTAGAAGCAGCTGACAAAAAATAACAGATTGGGTTATAGGTTGTGGATGAATAACAGAATTTTAATAAAACATTATTATTAATTTTATTAATTCAGCAATTATAAAAATATATAACTGTTAATTAGAAAAAAAAATGACTAATTAAAACATTTGAGAAGCAAAACGTGCATAAGAAGTCAGATGCTATCTTATTTTGTCAATGTGCCATACTGTAAGGGATAGGGAATTTGTACAAAATTGGTCAGGGAAAGTCATGGAAATTAAAACAAAAATTTGAGTAGGAACCCTGTACATAAGGGAAGGTATTGAAATTGTGTCAAATTTGATACTCAGTTTTTTTATCTTTAAGTTTGAGACCCCTGAACCCACAAAAGTAAAATAAATGAAAAAATGGCAAAAAGATGCTGTGTGTGTGTCTATTTCAGTTATCTCAGGACAGGGTGAAAATACAGATGAAATTTGGCAAAGTAGCTTATATATAAGGGGCATTGATACTACAGTATTAAATTTTGGTTGTGAAAGGTCAAGGGGATAGAGAGAGAGGATGGTCATGTGTCATATCTCACGAGGAGTTAGACTTAATGATTTTACTTGTTAGCATTTATGGTGTTTTATAAAACTCATTTCTACCCTCAAAATTAAGTCTCTTGCTATTTTGTAATAATTAAAAATATATAAAGTTGTTAAAATCACACAACAGATGGTGCCACGTACAATTTTAGTTACTACTTTTGATTAATAATTCAAATGTTGTTTTTAAAATAAAATCTCATAAAAACCAGAAAAGTTACCCAACTCGTTGCTAGATTTTTTTTCATAGAGTGCAAAGCAAAATAACTGAATTTTATGAGCACACTGTAAGGTGGTCTTTGCAACTGGACTAAACAATGAGTTACACTTAATTTGTTTATTTACTAGTGGTAACTGTATTTTTGGCATGGTTTTAAACTCTTGAATTTCATTTAACTTTCTAATACATCAGGTTGAATATAAATCTTACTTGTAAACAATTAACCAGAGCAACATTCATTTTTAAAACGAAAACGTTTTTGAGTGAATGCCTGAACGTCAAACGTTTTCGACATTCAGGCATTCACTCAAAACCATTGCAAGTAAGAAGATTTATACTCTTGTATTTCTTGCATGTTTAAATTATTTTTATGAAATTTTCACTATCCATATTCCATTTCATATGTAAACAACTTTCTAAAAAAATTTTTGAATGTTACAAAATTTAATGTATATTATATGACAGAAAAGCCAGGGATCACAATATTTTTTCTTTCTTACTCTCCATCTGATTCACCATGACTGACAGTTTCTTCATTCA